TAGAGCCATCAGCGAGCAGCGAGAACTCATCCGCTCGCGACCGCGTGAGCACGTGCCAGCGGGCACCCCGCGAAATATACGGTGAAAGGAGGAAAGTCTCATCCGGGTCCGGCCATACCCGTCCTTGCCCGTCCGGCGCTGTCCCCCTCCCCCTCCGGCTTCTGGCGGCTATTCGCGGTTTTGTGGTTAGGATAGATGGCGCCACTAAAACTCCGTATAATATAAGTTTTGTCGATGATACCAGGGTTTTGACGCATTTATATATATGTTGGAACGACGAGATTTATAGAAAAGTTACCTTTTATCGAGCAGGTATTCACACAACTTGCTATCTTTTTTAAAACTACCCAAGCGACGTCACGCCGCTTGTTTCTCATGGCCGCCGCTCGTGGCTACAGGTCGGGAAATATTCTAAGTTTTGCCTCGCTATTACGCGGCGGAATCGCAACATTTCGATGAAAGGAGGTGTGTTTTCTGCCATTTGTGACACAGTGAACAATATCAAAAGCAGAAAATGCCAATTCTTTCAACGTTAAAATCGTTGCACAGCTCCTTTAAGTTAGTGACCTCCAGACTCCGGACATCTGCACTCGAGCGCGCGGGTTCGGAGCGTAGCTTAACGGCACACTTTGGTACCGAAGCGCCAACTGACGCCTATTTTTTTTAATGTTTCCCGTTCCGGCTTTTTGCCGCGCTCTTAATTAAATATGGTTCTCGTCTCGTCGAAACGTCCAAAAAGTGTTTGTTCGACGATGACTTCGATAAAATAATTGCACGGCGCCAACAACAAGAGCTTGTATTTTTGCTGCACGCTGTTGGTGCGGCGATTAAAGGTACGCCGAACGCCTTCTGAATTCCCAAAAGCCTTAAAGAATGACGGCTGAATGGCCGAATTTATTGGCTCGCCTGATCCTGAAATTGCCGTAAGGTACATGAAGAACTTCGACAAGCATTTGAAGAATGTATGCATACCTTTCTACACCAGCACCATGCTTTTTTAGTTTTTTATTTTCCACGATGACGGAACAATTGCACGAGCTGCCAAGCGATCGCCGTCGAAGTATCCACGCATCCAAGCAGGCGCGACTTGCGCGTCCCAGGAAGTCCCTAAAGGCTTCGGCGCAAGCACAAACGACGTCAAGAGCTCCGAGCACTGCATGGTAGCGCAGAACAAGCAGCTCCTACCCACGACCGGCCTACCTGGGTGCCGTTCCCGGCTAGGCCGGAGCCTTTCGGCCGCGGGGTTCGGTTGGTGCGGTCGCGGTCAGCGAGGTTTGGCGAGGCGAGCGCATCCTCGGAGCGTTCGGAAACGAACTCGCTCGTCAGGGATTGCGCACACCCGACGCCTCTGGTCCAGAGTGGCCCGGCGGCCTGGCCGGGAGCCCAAAACGCTTGGGTTTTGATGTTTCTTCCGTCTCGTGCGAGACCACCGACCACCGTGTGAAACCACCGCGAGTAACCGCGAGAATGGCCGCGAGAGCGGAAACGCCGTCATCTCACCGGAAAGCGACCTGTTCGAGCTCTCGCGCACCATCCCCGACGACGGAGCTTGCTCCGCCACCGTGTACCGGAAGTGAGACGATGTCGTTTAGTTTAGCTCGAGTGCACTCTGACCGCTGGAGCGCGTTCGAGCACGTTAACTTAACGCGCCCATTGAGTTTTTTCTCTCAACATAAACGTTCATGCTTGGAGTAAGCAAAGCTTCTTCAACTGCAGCACTGCCATAAAAAAAAATTGGAAAGGAAAAAAGAGTTTGGGGGTCTCAAGGAAAGTGCTCAGAAATTAAGAAGTTCAACCTCTAGATCTTTCTTCGTAGATCTGGAAGTTTTCAGATTTCTCTTTGGGATATCAAATAGTGGCAGCCACAAGAAAGTTACAAAGTACACATAGTTTATTGAGTCTAAACAGTTCAGAGCAAAAGTTTACAGCAACGACGGCCACTAGGCATATTCATATCTGTTCTAAAATTGGGTTTTTACGCAAGAAAAGATGCCTAAATAAAAACCACACCAAGTTTACAAACATACGCTAAGCTCTGCCATAAAAGCAACCGGCGGACACTTAGAGTGACTTCCGGTTAGCAATTCGAGCGCCATCTCTTATTTGTTGGTATTCTATTAGGTCTTTCCGATTTACGCCGGAAAGTTTATTTAATAGAATGAGATACATATTATTGTTGCTGCTTACAGATTTCAAAAATTATCCTGGTAAGATGAAAGAAATCTTTTGGTGAGCTAAAGTTTCGCCCTCATACTTTGCTCTCATTGGCTGGTTGTTTTTTGTATTTTGACCGTTGAGAACAGTTGCGCGTCAGCTGCTGCGCTCACGGATGCGTCGGCTGCTCGACGGCGCCTGTGCCAGCGGTGCGGTGGTGGTTTTCGCTTGCAGCAGCGGGCAGTGGCGTTGACCTATTGGTTATCGGTCTATTTCTTCTACCACTGCACGGAGCAAACGAAACCTTGTCTATTGCTCGACTCAGTGGTGCTCCAATTCCAGTGGCAACAGCTCTGCTAAGTTCTTTGGGTTCCCGATCAAGTGACGAAAGGTAAAGACGGGCTGCTATACTTTTGGTTCTACAGTTTCGGATTGCCGAAAACTTGCTGGTGCATGTTTCTTTATGGTAGAGTTATTGTAGAAACTCACAAGGGACAGCGCATGTATTTTAAAATGAGCAGTGTGGGCGGTATCGGTGTTAGACCACCGCAGCTCGGTAGCTCATGCGTGGAGCAGCTCGCTGCAGAAGGAACCTGCGAGAGACCGTGGCGATCGAATCACTGTCGCTAACTACCGCAAAATTAAATGTGTGATTGCAGGTCTGTGAATATTTGAATAGTAGTTTTGTGTAGACTTTGTTACTTTGTTGTGCCGTGCAGTGAACATTTTTTTTTTTTTTTCTTTGTATAAAGAGCGTGCCTAATAAAAAGAGAACTTGCAAAAGAAGTTTGGACTTGTGCTCAGACAGGCGATGTGCGCCCATCTTAAGCCACTAAACAGCAGCGGCTGGGCGTACTTTGCATTCATTGATTGACGATTTTATGAGAACTGGCTGTCACTGAACATGCACTGTTGCCAAGCTGATCTCAATCGAACGACGCAAAGTCAAGTGCAATCGTTTCGGAAGCGTCGGACATTCGCAAAAAAAGGTAAACACACTTTTTTTTTTCTCAAAAAGATTACATTGTATTGTAGAAGAACGAGACGGCGGCAATCGGAGCAGTTCCCTCTTCTCTCAACATCAGCGACAATAGGAAGCAAATTCGTTCGGAGTTCGGAGGCTGCTCCGAACTCCGAACAAACTCGCATCCTTTTGTTGCCAAGGGTGAGAGAGAGGGAGAAGAGGGACCACACTTCTCACACCCTCTCTCATAACCAAGCGGTTGCCATGACGACGGCACATATTGTTTTGTCTGTTTCTTATTGCTTTTGGAGAAACCCAATGCCCGTTAGGGGAGATTTCGCGCTGCTGTCTGCAATTGGAGTCCCAATGGGAGGTATAGACGCTTTCAGCGAGTCAGTTACTCGAGTTGCCACCAGTCGGCGCGCCCTTCGCGCGCTTTCCGGGCCGCCATAGCCGACCTTCAGTTCCCCGCCGTTGCTACGCGTTGTGTGCTGCACAGGCCACTATCGGAGCTTCGTTTTCGTGTTCTTTTACGTTCCGCGTTGATATCTTGTATTTCCCTTAGGTCTTTTCGATATTTAGGATTTTCATTTAATCATTTGAAATTTATATTTCGATATAGCTCTTGTATTTTCTTATTTATGGAATCGGACAGCGAATGGGTCGACGACACAAGATTATGAGGCTTCAATGTCCATGTAAGTTCATCCCATTCTTACGTTTTTGTCGCTAATAAAGCCAGTCAACACTATTGCGGCATATGTAAATTGCAACTGACGCAGTAAGGCTATCACAGCTCGTGCTTCTCGCTGCATATGCGCGCTCGTTTCCGTAAAGCCGACCCGCGTGTAAGCTATTTAGCATGCGACGAGACGAGCGACGGAGATTTCTCACTGTCGCCCGTCGCATCGTTCGGTTTTTTTTATTCTGGAAAATGTCGCTCACCGTCTTGGTCGCTTGCTTCGTCGCTTCCATGCGGTTTGCCTCGTCACGCGACTGACTGAGCGACAGCAAAGCGGGTCGCCGTCGCTTATCTGGTCGCTCGCCAAATCGCTTACATGCGGTTTATACTCAATTAATTTCCATGCACACAGAATTGAACCATTGGCGCCTCGATATTAAGTATAAACCGCATGCAAGCGAATCGGCCAGCAACGAGACAAGCGACGGTGACCAGCTTCGCTGTCGCTCGGGCAGTCGCACGACGAGGCAAACCGCATGGAAGCGACGGGAGCAAGCGACCAAGGCGGTGAGCGACGTTTTCTAGAAATCCCAAAAAAACCGAGTGATGCAAAAGGCGACAGTGAGAAATCTTCGTCGCTGACTCTCGTCATTGTCGCCGTCGCTCGTCTCGCCGCGCGCTAAGTCGCTTACATGCGGGTCGGCTTTACGGAAACGAGCACGCACACGCAGCGAGAAGCACGACTGGATAGCCTTACTGCGTCAGTTGAAATTTGCATATGTCGCAATGTCGTTGACTGCCCTTTATTAGCGAGAAAAACGTTAGAATGGGAGGAACTTACATGGTCTCTGAAACCATAATCTTGTATCGTCGATCCATTCGCTGTCCGATTCCATTTCATAAATAATAAAATACAAGAGCTTTGTTCAAATATAGATATCAAATGATTAAATGAAAGCCCGAAATATCGAAAAGACCTAAAAAAACCACACGATTTCAACGCGGAACGTAAAAGAACGCGAAAACAAAGCTCCGGTAGTGGCCGGTGCAGCACACAACGCGGAGGAACGGCGAGAAACTGAAGGGCGGCTATGGCGGCGGGGTCACGTGACGTCAAGATGGCGGCGCCCATGAAATGTTGCCTGAAAGGGTCTATAGGAAGAGTCCGCCGGTTGATAAAAGATCCAAAGTAGAACATACCTTGCTTTTCTCTGAGCTTTCCTCTTTTTCTTGTGAGGTAGATTTATTTGCCTTCTCCTTTTCCTGAAAAGAAAACCAGCACAATATTTTGTCATGCATGGGTTCTCAAGCTGAATTCCTCAGGAACAGAAAGTTTTCCAAAGTGTCGTGCCTTCAAGGGTTTTTGAATTGCCAAAATTCTCTTGGAATCCCTAAATTCTCTAATCCTTCTCAACCCCTTAATAATGTGTATTTTTGGGTCAATTGACATTTAGGCCTAGTTTAGTCTTTCTTCGATAACTGACCATGAGCCAAACGGTCCCACATTTTTCCTTTGAGTGTTTTATTATTCACTGAAATTTGCATGCCTCTCCACTATTTTACCTTAAGGTGTCAACAAAGAACATGGTTTCTATGGCTGTCACTCAAGATACCTACCATTTTATAACCCACACCGCAAATTACTACACTAAAAAAAAAAAAAAATCCTTGCACATTTTTTGCATTAGTTACTCAAAGCGATGTCCAGATTTTGCTAGAAACCATACCTTTACTTTTGAACACTATTCACTCATCGCGGGAGCCACTTAAGTTCTCATCAGAAGCACCCCCACTGTCAAAGATAGTCATCAATCATGCCATCAAAGCGATCGTCGACGCTGTACTTTTTAAAACTATTCCGCATTATCTCGCCCGTAAAGGTCGCGGTCACCCTAAACCTCTTGTCAATAAGGCGTGATCACAGGCTCTTCTCGCCTCGATGAACTCTGCAATCACTTCGTCATGCTCGGAGTATGCAGAAGTCTTCGGACCGCGGAATGATCTACGGCAGCAGTTTGCAGGCTCTCCCTTCCTCCATTCTAGCACGCACGACTCCTTAACGTCATAGTTTCGGCCTGCCTTTCAGTTTCCGATGGCCGCCACCAAGGGCAGCTTGTGGCAAACAAACACAGGCAGGCAAGGTGGCGAGGTCGGCATGATCCGAGTGGATCTGCTAAGGTCAGCATGGATCGGCAGCTGACGGCTAGGCTCAGCCCAGAAACAATGTAAAAATGGTTGCCCAAAAAAAGGAGGAGAAGAAACACCCTCAAATCTATCCCTAGGGTTTTGCATGCACTCCCATGAAACCGAACTGCCCAGCCGAAATTCACAAGTAACCCGCAACACTACTTTGCTCATGAATTAATCCAAATTTTGAGGCAGTAATACAAGAGAAAATGTGGTATAGCCACTGGAAGGAGGAATCTTTTTCGTAAGCACGGCCCCTAGCACGCGCTTGTTGCTTTCCACTGTACTTTGCCTGCGCATGCGCACTCGAAGCTCATGAGACGCCTTAGCATATTAAAGCTCAAAAGCTTGGTGGTTGGACAATAGTGATTAGGCATGCTGTTGGTATTTTGCCGCACTGTGGGGTTGAAAATTGGTTCAGCCCATCTTTACTGTCGTCTGCTCATCTCTTCCTCCGTGGGGCCACAAATTGGTTCGACCATCCTTGCCGTCGTCTGCTCATCTCTTCCTCCGTGCGAATGCTCTTGAGGGACAGATAACATGTGGACTTGTCGCCATCTGATGAATCCGTCCGCGAATCAGTTTGTCGTGTCGACCTACCCTTAACGGCTGGAAATTGTAAAATACAATCTAGGATAGGATTCTAATGTGCTTAGTGTCCCAGTGCAGATCACGCTTAAGGGTGCAATGTTATCCCCTTCCCATCAAGAGCTCGGAGTTCCTTTGGACTGCTCAGGCCAATTGCAGGAAGATAGGCCAGCCAAGTGCGTGCAGTGCATCGCAGCTCGGAGCTCATGAGACAAGAGCTCGCGTTGCAGACCCCGGTGATTGTTTGTGGGTTCACTCCCCACCCCTACCTTTTCCGATCTAGATGAGCATCGTGCCGACGTATCATTGCATAATTACTACAGCATGATGCACACTGAAAGCTCCCAGGTTAGTGGCAATACTGCACAGGCTCAATTTCTCAATGACACTGCAAACCAACGTCACCATAACGAAAAGGCCAACCGACCTCTTGCAGTCTCAACATCCTAAATTTCAGTTCCTCTTTTTGACGCTGTCTGTACACTACACGAAAGTAGATGTGCAGGCTTTAAAAAAAAGAGGTTGACTTACTTTGAATAAGTAAGGTATGTTGGACATTACCTGGTGGATCAAACACGTACACACAAAAAAGGTTTACGTTTCTCGAGTGCTGAATGCAATAGCAGAGTACAACTTGTCAAGTGCACGAGCCACACCGTTCATTCAGAAACTGTGCTTAAGAAAGAAGTGGCCAGCATTACCCTGTCCAACTCCCTCTGCAGAGCCGCTGCCTCTTCCTCGGTAAGCTCCTGCACGGTGCACTCCTCCTTCTCCTTGCTCTCCGCTTTCTTGGCCTTGCGCCGCTCCTCGGCCTCCTTCGACTTCTGTTCCTTGGCGGCTTTCTCTGACAGGGCCAGTCCCTCGTGCTTGGAGAACTTCTCCAGAATCAGCTGCAACAACGGTAGGGACAGCGGGCTCATTAGCGGCAAGTAACGCAACCACACGAGGACGAAAGCAAAATTTCCCATGCCAGACTAACATTTTGGAACAGGAGAACATTACCTCGTAGCTCGTATTTAGCTCGGAGCAACTATTTTGCATGATATATATGGCCCTTTTCATAATTTGTCTTCAAATAAAACTTTATGGCAGCTAGTTGGCAATTAAAGTACACTCTGCCCTGCATGCCAAGAGAAAAATTTGAATTCATTGGTGTTTCACCATCCTAATCAACACTCCCAAGCCAAGAAGTGCAATCTAGGCTTTCTTTTTCTGGACAATTCAATGCCTGCCTCAATCACATGGTAAGCAGTCAAACATATTTTTGTTGATCTAGAACGATAAATAAAATTGAATTACCATCTGGGAAGTTCCGTTGAGGAACACATACAATGTTTTAATGGCAAGTTTCGTCACAACTGGCCATCACCTTCTCTAGTAGATGACAGGCGTCAGATGTAGTGCATGGCAGCCAGATTCATAACAGCAGTGGAGACTTTTAGCACACTGTGCAATATTTAGCGTAGGTGGCAGCACATCTTTAGGCATTCCCTCTCATACTGTTAATGGTACTACTATACCCAAGAGGCCAACCATTCCGGTTGGCCTCTTGTCGTTGGCTCTAAACCAACGACATTTCATAACACAGAAGATGGTGAGTTAAACTATCATTTATAAAATGACAGTTCTCTGGTGTCTAACCATTTCCGTCCTATTGTGCAGAAACAATTCAACAAGCGAAAATAGCACTACTGTGGTGTTCGTCAGCACACCATGAGCAGACGAAATAAAGCTCTGGAACAGTGTGGACATCGACTCGAATCTACCATTGGCGACGAGGTCGGAAATAACCTTCATGGCTCTGCTGCAGTTGTTTCACAATGATCGCTCTGTCTCCCCAATTCAAGCTTGGGAAGGAAATTAAGCAAGGAAATTGTGTGGAACAGTATCTCTAGATGAAAAGATGCATATTTACACTTGGGCATGAAAGCCGCCACAAGGTCCACACTAGGCATGTAGCCAGGGGGGAGGCCCATGGGGCCCGGCCCCCCCCCCCCCCCCCCCCCCCAAAAAAAATCTTCCATTTTACTGGGGCCTCCTCTCCCCCCTCCCCCTCATACAGCATTTTGTCATGGGCGGGCCCCCCCCCCCCCCCCCGAAACAAAATCCTGGCTACGTGCCTGGTCCACACTACCAAGAGTAAGCTTGGGCCAACGTTGCTTTGCCGACATGTGACTAAAACAAATCTTGAACATCATCGCGAGAAAAAATTAAACAGTACTCAAGAGATTCATGATCACATTGTGCAATGTCGGCCCCTCTTCAAATCCCCTGCTATCCCTACACATGCATACATTTTGCCGAAATGTACACCAGATCACACTTAAAAAAACTGCCACATGCGTGCAACTACATCTTACATGCCATCCTCTATCAACAACACTTGAAACGTTTATCTCGTCCATAGCAGAGACTAATCTTCAGCTGGGTACTGTGATTTTGGCTGCTTGTTTATCCTGCTATTTCTCTGATCTAATATCTCGGTGGTGCTCTATTTATTCATGATCTGTACCAGTCCTGTTCTGTGGAATGCAATGCCACACCATCGATTATGTCAACACCAACCTGTACGTACCTTTTTAGCGGAGCCGGGTCCACCCCCCGTGTAGAAATCTGTTTTTCTTGCGAGGAAACTGAAGAAGGTGTCCAGTAACTGCAATATCGCGCAGAAAGAATGGTAAACTTCCACCAGCTCACCTGCGCCGTCACTGTATTTGAATTGTGGATAATTACACTCACGCTCTTCGTAAAAACAATTGTCTGTTAGGCGTTTCAAAAAGATCTAGGCGATTTTACGCGGCTTCAAAGCCCCAGAGCCGCACGTTACACGCGATAAATCAACGATTAGAGTTTCAGTTGCTTACTTTAGCGAGAGAACATTCTCGATGCTTCGTGTAGTGATAAGGTTAGCGTTTTGTAAACCGGGAGACCGGGCCAGTTTTGTGGATATGCAGAAGAAACCTGCCCTTATCCTCAATAATTGTAGACGAGCCGTGAAAATCTGCTCCCAAAAGGGCAACGTTTGCGTTAGGAAATCGGTGCGACGGTGCGATCGCTTGGCTAGGCTTAGGAGGTTCGTGTCTCGCGAGGCTGCAAGGAAAATGAAGATTGTGACTACTTACTTGCTGAACTCCGCCTTCGTGCTGTTGAGCTAAGGCAAGTAGCATTCCGTCGAACTTGTCGACGTCAGACTCTGGCATGATATTAATTTTCTGTTTCGACAACAAACAGAAGGAAAACCAACGTGCTCCCGGTGCTGCGCGTAGGCGACGCCGGCGTTGCCAAGCGATGCGCGTGTTTCTGCAGGATCACCAGGTTTTACTGGGCTTGAAGGCATGCATCCTGCGCATCGCTTTCTGGAACTTATACAAATATGTTTCTATATTTTTCATATATATTTTGGTAATAATATGTATTTTATTTGTCAATATGAACAATAAAAATTGCGAAGTTTAAATTTCGGGTTTTGTTGAGCACTATGGTTCTTTCGTGTTGCAGCGGGCTTTTTGAAAAATCATTTTGCAAACGAGTCGGCAAACTCGGGCGAAAATTAGTTAGGGGTCGACGTCTCGAAATAAAAGCAAATTTTCAGAATCGTTTCTAACCCATAATGTGTCTTATAAGTTAAATAACGCGCGCAAAAAAAATTCATTTTTTTTTTAATTAAAAGGGGGTTTGTGAAACATGCCTCCCAAGGCGGTTAATTTTTTTAATTTTAATTTCAGTGTTGTTCAATGGTACTCGGTTAATATTATATCGCTAAGACAACATCGCCCTGGCACCATCTACTCATTTGTTTTCTTGTGTTAGCATAATGCCCGTGTCCCACTAGAGCGACAGACACAAACAAATGACAGCGACAAGCCTCAAACCAGAGTCTTTCGCGTTTTGACAGATTTTGTAGAATAAAGGAGGCTATGCTCAAACATGAGTATCATGCACGCGAGCGTAACTTTGGCAGGCTTGCAATTGCTCGTGCTTACCTTGCGAGCACCGAACGACTAAACGCCTGCCAAAGGTACCATAGCGAGCATGCTGCATGGGTTCGCGGCTTGTCGCTGTCTTTTGTTTCTGTCTGTCGCTCTAGTGTGGGACACGGGCATGGGCGTGCCAACCGGGGGACGGGGGGGAGCAAGGGGGGCGCTTGCCCCCCAGTTCTCAGAGTGTGTGTGTGTGTGTGTGGGGGGGGGGGGGGGGGCAAGGCATGCGTTTTGCCCCCCTCAAAAAGCTGCCACTGGGCACGGCAAACACTAGCCGGCGGTGCCACAGGCATACCAGGGGACCGCCCCGGCCATGGGGGGGGTGGGGGGGGGGGGTTCTCGTTTCCCCCCCCCCCCACTCAAAAAGAAGTTGGTACGCCACTGGACACGGCCATTAGAACTCTCGTTTTGACGAAAACACGGTGTTTTTCTCTTTTCAATGCCGGGGAAAGAGGGAGGAGGAGGGGGAGAGGGTGACGCGTGTGACGTTCCCATTAGTCTGAAACAGGGGCGTAGCCAGGGGAGTTGCTTAAGGTGCTTCAGCCCCCCCCCCCCCCCCTCCTCCGAAATCCAGCCGACCCTATAATATACACATGCATTTTGACCACCCCTCCCCCTCTCCGCATCCCAAGTCATGGACATCTCAGCCACCTCAGCCAACACCCTCAGCTCCCCTCCCCCCCCCCCCCCCCCCCCCGCCCGAAAAAAATGTCTGGCTACGCCACTGGTCTGAAACGCTGACGTCATCCCGCGTCAACCTCTCCCTCTCTCCCGGGTGCTGGCAAACTGAGAGACACCGCCGGGTTTTCGTCAAACGGAGCCCTTTCGTTTTTGTCAAAAAAGTGCCGCACAGCTGGCGCGGATCGGGAGAGGAGAAGGCGCTGCGGCGCGGTGGAATGCGAACGTGCTCAGTTACCGCTCTGCCGTCGCCGGTTGTACTTCCCTGTTGGTTTCCATAGTAGCGGTGCGTGGGCTGTGATGTGTGTGTGTAGTTAAAATATGAATGCAGTTCCCTCCACGAGTGATATGGATGCGGCTCCTTCCATGAGTGGTAAGGATGTGGTTGTTCCCACGAGTGATATGGGTGACCGTATCCAAGGGCGTCGACTTCCTCTGCCACACGGAGTATAGGAACCGTGCGGATCTAATTCAAGCCCCGACCAGGGCGCCCCTAGCGGCAAACGGGTCCGTTGCATCGGGCATCTTCTGCCCGTCGCTGCGTTGGTTGTGCGTTGTAGTGGGTTAGCGCTGTAATTTCTGAGATGGCTATTCCGCACCAAGAAAGCCGCAACAATTGCTGCGTGGTCGGCAAGATCGCGCACGGCACGAAGTATTACATCGTTCCTTCGAAGCCGTACGAGGCGGAGTGCTGCGCGACCTGGGTACGACTTGTGCGTCCATACAGGTTAGTGGTGTTTCTTACCTTCCAGTTCGCGCTTTGTTTAAGCTGCTGATGAATAATACAATTAACTTTTTTTCTCTTCTAGCGACGATGGAACAGCATCGACACCGACGGCAAACTCTAAAGTATGCAGCAAATACTTCACCGGAATCAGAAGCGGAATGCGGTCGCCCTCCCAAGCCTACCGTTGGATGTTTCCATCAGCCGACAGGAAGATAGTAAAGAGAATCGCGGAACGGCGCGAAAAGAAATCGCCCAGTTATTGTCAAGCTGATTCAGAAATAAACGTACATAATTGCCGCAGTCCACTCAACGCCAACAATTTTTTTTTATGCGGGCGCGCTTAATTTTGTTTGCAGAGTACGGCGCTCCGTAACATCCACTTATCCGTCGAAACGGACCTCCTTCACGTCGCACACGCGGCCAGATTCATGAAAGAGTTTTCTCTTCGTCATATTGCCACCACGGAAGAAGCTTTCTGGATTCGTAACCGCCTTAAACCCCGTCGTAATCACCCCGGGAACACTGTCCGCTGTTCTGCTAATCGTCACTGCTTCCCCCCGATGATTCTGCACCGGCTACCGAAGAAGCATTCCGGATTCTTAGTCGCCCACTGTCCTCTGTGCTGTTCGTTGCTATTACTTCGCGATGATTCTGAGCCGGCGGCACCGGCTTCCGAAGGAACTTTCCGAACTCGTAACTGCCTTAAATTCCGTCGTAATCACGACGGGGACACTGTCCGCCGTGCTGTTCGTCGCCATTGCTGCCCGACGCTCCTGCGGCGGCTACCGCCAGGTCGCGGCGAACAATAGGCGACCGCCGCGACACGGCCGGCTTAATTGCTCGCTTCCTATAGAAAACGTGTGGAAAAAGTTACAGGAAGATCGATTGGTGGATTCTTACATGGGCGTACCTACCCCCTCCCAGTCTGAAACAGCCGCCCCTGGGCAGGGAAAACACTGGCCAGCGACGCCCAAGGGATACCAAGGGCACCGCCCCCAACACTGGGGGGGTCTGGTTTGCCCCCCCCCCCCCCTTAAAAATCAAGTTTGTACGCCACTCGATTTTTAAGGAAATACGTTATCATGACCCTTGAAAAACGCCACACGCGTCCCCCTTTGGGAAACGCTAACGCTGACCCTGTCACGAGGCCAAAAAGGTAGGAAAAAACAGAGGAAGCAAAAGTGAAAGCCAAAACAGAAACGTGAAAAGGTCAGCGTTAGCGTTCCCCGAAGGGGGACGTGCGTGGCGTTTCTCAAGGGTCTTGCTAACGCATTCCCTAAAAAAAATCCACCTATGGATTTTCCTTTTTTCTTCTTCGAATGCTTATAGTCTCAACCTTTGAACTTAAGCTTTTATTTGTTTACTCCTTTCTTTTCATGCAGAGTAGCGCGTTGATGCGTCCAGGTTAACATCACTGACATTCATTCACTATTATTTCACCCAATGAAATGCGGATATTGGATATGACATTAACCTCGGCAGTACGATTTTTTAGTTCAAAAGGATATCCTGTGGCTAACCCAAAACATTTTCAGCGAGATGAAGGCACTTGCTATCTTCGTTAAACTAAAGTGAATAAACATCACGATTTAAAAAAAAAAGAAAGATATAAATCGCATTTATTTTATTTAAATAAGATTTATTAGATGATTTAAATCCCCCTGACTATGAAAGTGTTTTTCTTTTCTCACCACATTTTTTAAAGGGATACTGAAGCGAAACTTGAAATACACCTATTATGGTCAGAAATAGGTTCAATATGATCAATGATATTCATAAATCATAATCGCGCGTTTGTATTTTGAACGGATGGCTATATTTTTCACTCTGATGGGCCCGATTGGGCGCGCGCTCAAAAATCGGCCATCGGAGAGCGCGATGCGTCTTGGGATATTGGGCGCATTCGTGACGTCACTTGTGCCGGTCGGGAAAGGCTACGGCGTGAATGTTGTGGTTACGAGCGTTGCCACTTGGTGGCGCGTCGACGATTTACGACCTGTGACAACGTGGCCGTTTGAGATGTGCAAGGGCTGCACGCACGCTGCACCACGGGACCACGGCAGCACTGACAAAACCAGCTCTGAGGCCGAATTCTCAAAGCGAATTCACGACGAAAAAAGTGCGTACGACAAATTTGAGTGAAAACCCGTGCTCTCGAAACGAAATTGTCGTAACCTTTGCGCAGGTTACGACAGAATCCTACGACAGCTCCGAAGCTGTCTTACGCACTTTTTACGATCAAATCAACAAGGCCGACAGCGTCGCTCAGTTACTTGGTATCGGCCACCAACGGACATTTATTTTTCTTCGTGCTCTTCTCGTGCGTCCCGACTTCAACCAGCAAGAAAAAAGGAAGGAGTACTTAAAACAGACCACGACGATCAAGAACGCAGGATCCACAAACACACGAGAAGAGCTACAACAGCCACGATTCTGCCGACCGAGCGAGCTCGGCAGAATATAGTAGGCCTACCAGCAACATCAACTCGGCGCACCGTTGCACCGGCGGTCCTTGGCCAAGACCGTCTGTCCATGACCGGCTGGCCTGCTGAATGGAATATGCCCGCGCGACCCTTGTGGACCCTTACCGGATGAGTAGTTTGATCCCTGAACTAAATTTCAGAGGTCAATATTTTCCCCTTGTCATCTCGATCTCCTTGTTTTCCGAGACAGCGGTGACGAACGCTGTCGTCGAAAAGGGACTCTCATTGATTCTATCTCCTTCTTTTGTGTCGGAGTCATGCGGTTTAGAGAAGCTCGTTTTAGCGAAAGCCGTTTTACCGACCCCAGTTTATCGAATTCCTTTATAGAGAAACCCAGTTTAGAGAAAATGGCGATGAGCCTCCTTTTAGCGAATTCGGCCGCCGCGAAGCGGCGTGTGAGGATAAGTCAGATGGGTTAATTTTTTTGTAATGAGCCGCCGCAGACTGCCGCCGCG